TTCTCGAAGATTCATATCGCTCAAACAAATATAATAAAGGTATCGGATTAAATTATTTTTAATTGAGATAATTTGAAATTAGAATTATAATTTTCATATACACCCGTTAATAAATGTGCTATTAAAATTTGTATTTTGGGTTGATAATCTATAATTTTTTAAAAAATGAAAAACATTTTTAAGGAAATAGACAATAAAACAAAAAAAAAAATTACTAAGGGTATAATTTATAAAATAATTTTTAAAAATTAAAATAGTTATAAATTAAATAATTATTTTTTTAATTTTGCATTTATTTGACACGTCAAATGACGTATTTATGATGTGGACACTTTTCTTGTCCTGATTGGGCCAGTCCACGTGTATCCTCGTAATTAGTAAACAAAAAAAATATGACTAATACTTAATGGGTCAGTACACGTGTATCCTCGAGTTTGTCAACAAAAATAAGATAGCACGATTTTACTTTTTACTGACTGTTTTTACTTGCTATGTTTCTTTACCCTGTTTTGTTGGGCAGGTTTTAAATTGTGAGAAAAAAAAAAATCAATTTATTATTAAGAATTTTTTTAAATTATATTTTAATTTAAATTACGTCACATCTCCATTTTTTTTACACTAATATATATATATATATATATATATATATATATATATATGTATATATTTATATATATGTGTATGTATGTCTATATATATGTATGTATGTATGTATATACTAATTTTCAAACGAAGTTAATAGGTTTAGGCGTTAGGCCCAAGGTAGCTTTTGGGCCTATGGATATTGACAAATTTGGATAAATAAAAAAAAATTAATATTTTCAAATTCTCTGATTAATTTGATTATTTTAAAAATAAAATAGAAAAGGTTTTTGTTTTTGTTTTTAGATAATAATTATTTAAATTTAAAGTTATTTAAAAAGGATACACTCTCATTCTAATATTTTATCTGTTAAAAATAATTATTGTATTTTACAAAATATTAAAAAATTACTCAAAAATATTAATTCTAATTTTGTATTTAAAAAAATAAAGACAGTTATTTTTTTTAAAAATAAAAAGGAAAAAAAGATTGATAAGTGATATTCATAAATGACTCATCACATGACAGACAATTCATCACCAATAAGTCGGGTCGTTACAAATTATTTTTAAGAAAATTAAACCGTTAAATATAATATAAAGTTATCAAACCATTGATTAAAAAAAAAAATTATTTGAATGAAATTTATTTATTAGGTGGATCATAAATTATCTCGACTCTTTTTATTGATGTTGATAGATAAAACTACATCCTTTTCCTTCTCGGAGGTGACTTGTGAGTATTTTTTTAGTAAACATATTATTCATAAATTTATTGATAGTGATATTATATATATTGAAAAATATAAGGAATTCATTAAACCTAACAAGTTAGGTACAACTTCCAACGTCGCTAATTAAAGGGAGATTCATTTGTAGTAAATGTCATCCGTTGAGTTGAAAAGGTGTGGGCTGATTAGATTGATGACTCGAGCAACCCAAATGAAATTTACAATTTATCTCAACCCATCCGAAAGTTGGGGTTGGTCGGATTGATAGTCCGAGCAATTCTAATAGAGTTTACAATTCAACCGAACCTGGGTTGGGTTGAGATGTGTTGAGGATTGTTGGAGTGTAACGTTGGGTAATTAAAGGGAGGATCGTAGGTATATAAGTGAGAGGTTATCTCTATTGGTATGATGTTAGCTTTTTAAAATGGACAGTATCATACCAATGTGGAGAGTCGTTAATCCCAACATGATATCAGAGCTCATTTTGGGTTGGTTAAGAAATGGAAGAAAAAACTCGAGACAACTAGAGCAATATTTACAAGAGGTTGAGAGAGAATCGGAGCACAAACCAGACTAGAAGCGAGAACAACTGATAAACCGTGAGAGAGAACATCATTGACGTTATTCACGTTAAGATGAAAATTGACAAAATGCCTAATATATACGGTTTGGAAGGAGCACGATTTGATCGAAAATTAAAAAGGAAGAATATTTTTAAAATGTAAGAGGTAGAATTGAAACTATGCATTTAATACTATTTAAGTGCCTAACGTATTATAATTTTTTATAAAAAAAAATATATTAGAAAGTAAATATTTTTCCAACTTTATAGATGAAACTATGAAAATAAATCTTAGAAATAATTAAAATATATAACTACATAGGTTTAAATTAGGGTGTACATGGTCAGAATTGAGTTAGGTTGAGGAATTTTTTTGACCCAACCAAAAATTCGGGTGAGTTAGATTGGTAACTCAATCCAGCTCGAAAATTTTCACAACTCAACCCAACCCTCTGTACCGGTTGGGTTCGGGTTGTTAAAAAATTTAATTTTTAAAAAGTTTTATTTATCCACAATTTATAATTATTCGGATACAATCTTAAATAAAAGATAATTAAAAGTTTACACACAAACACAAATCAATCTATAATTATTTAAAAAAAAAAAAAATTAAGAATCACTAACAAAAATTGTAACATATTAACATAGTTCAACATTGATAACTAAAATATCGACATTGGTTGAGAATTGGTTAAAGTAAAAAAAAAATATAAGGATAAATTAAGAAATAAAAAAAACCAATAACACTAATTAGTGTAAAAAATACTCTTATAAATATATATATATATAATTAAAATAGTCAGGAAACTATTAAAATATATATATATAAATTGTAATATAAAATGTTGGCAACAAATAAATAATAAATAATAAATATATTAAAATTTAATAAATTTATTTACTTTCCAAATTTATCATAAAATTAAATGATTGTTTGTTACAAACGCGTTTTAAGTTTGGACAAAGTACCACTCTAACAAATTTATATATTTTTATTTGGCTCGAGTCAACTCAAGGATTTTGTATCATGAACCCGAAACCGAACCGAGTCAGTTCGGGTTCAGAAAAATGAACCGAAACCTTTTAAATCCGAACCAACCTAAAAAGTTAATCCAACCCAACTCAATCCTTATAGTTCGAGTTGGATTGATCCAAATTATCGAGTTGAATGTACACCCTTAATTTAAATGTCTTTTTAAATATTATTTTAATTTAAAAAAATGAAGGACAACCAAGAATTAACGTAGAAAAATGAAAACATAAAATTTCTCTTATATAAAATAAAATATATTTTAAAACTTAAATTTTATTATATTTAAGTAAGACCTTTAATGAATTTTCTCTTATCACACTAATTATTATTATTTGAATTATGCTCAAACTCATTTCAACAACTAAATTATTCAATTAAAATGGTTATACTAAAAAAATAATTTAAATTTTTATGTTAAATGAATTAAAAATAAATAAATAAATTTGTTAGTGTCAATAAAAAAAGAATATGCCAAAATCTTTTGTTAGATACATGTCGTTTGGAAGGGTATATTCGAGTTTTGCATATTTTATTTTTTGGCCCTCTAAATTTTGTTATTTTGGCAATTAGAAATGTAACGACCCAGATCCACCGCTAGCAGATACTGTCTTTTTTGGGCTTTTCCTTTCGGGCTTCCCCTCAAGACGTCTAAAGAGGATAATGTCTGTTAGCAGTAGATCTGGGTCGTTACAAATGATATCAGAGCCAAACACCGGACGATGTGCCAGCCTTCTCGCTGTTCCCTGAAAAGGGGTAGATACGAGGCGGTGTGTCAGTAAGGACGCTGAGCCCCAAAGGGGGGTGGATTTGGGGGTGGCCCACATCGATTGGAGGAAGGAAAGAGTGCCATCGAGGACGTTGGGCCCCGAAGGAGGTGGATTGTGATGTCCCACATTGGTAAGGGTGTGGAAACCTACCCCTAACAAATGCGTTTTAAAGTCTTGAGAGGAAGTTCAAAGAGGACAATATCTACTAGCGGTAGATTTGAGTCGTTTTCTGAGTACTTTTTGCAAATTCTGATATTTTGGAGGGCTATTGAAAATAAATGAAAAAGGAAAAAATCCCAACCTACCCAGAATATTGATATTGATTCGAACCTTGGAGTGGCAGCCAGATGCTTCCCAATATAAAGAATTAAAAATCTAGTATAATTATTATAATATTTTTTATACTAAATTAATATGTACTCTCGATCGAGCTCATCTCACATATTGTTTAATTAAAATAACCCATGAAAAACTCGATAAACCAACGTTACCCGACACAACCTATACAATTGATTTACGAGTTCTCTTAAAATTAGTTTGGGTTGAATCGAGATAGCTTGAGCAATTAAGTTGGATCTAAAAAATGTTTCGGCTCTAACCAACTCAATCCATAAATACTCGTACACCGACCCAATTAAAATCAAGAGATGGTTGGTTTCGAAGGAAATTTTGGTTTTCTCCAACTGTTACCCAAAATGTTGCAATAAGATTCTAAAAATTTATGGATTAATAAATGCGAGATTAACCATACATTGTAAAATGCATGTGAGTGTATTTAATTGGAGGTGGTGTAGAAAAATTAAAATGCAAACTTGGTAAGAAAATATTTTACTATATGGTTGGAATTAAAATAATTTTATCAATTTCAATATATAATTTTTTTTTTAATTTTTAATATCGATAATGCACATATTTATAAAAAAAAATCTTCAGACAATCGTTGCTGCTCTTTTTTTACTATTAATTTATATATTTTAATTAAACGAGACAGTTTTAGAGATACGAGAATGGAAGAAGGAGGCGATTAGGTGAATAGATAACAGTTTCTGTTCGTATACTATCGAACCAAATTTTATAATTTAGCCAAATAAACCGAACCGAACCGAACCGAACCGAACCGAACCGTGATAAATTTACTATGGAACTAGGCTTTAAAGTACCAAACCAATTGCCATGTATGTAGGATGCAATGAAGAGATAAGGACGTGGGAAGCCATGATTGGCCGGTAAGGGAGTGGAAGATCATAGTCTGACGTGGCACATCAACTATCCGTTTATCCAACCTACCCTCCCTCTTTAAATATTACTCCATTTTTTCACTTCATACACCAATTCACACCCTCTATCCCATTTGATTCTTGCTTCTTCATTCACTCCCCTCTCCTTCAATGGCCTCCGTCGCGGAAATTCGAGAGGCTCAACGAGCCAACGGCCCCGCCACCGTCCTCGCCATCGGCACCGCCACGCCCCCCAACAGTGTCCTCCAATCGGATTATCCCGACTACTACTTTCGTATCACGAAGTCTGAGCATATGACTGTCCTGAAGGAAAAATTTGTTCGAATGTGTATGTAAACAATTTAATTTGTCGATAATTTCTGATGTTTATGAATTATATTATTGAATTTATTATAATATTTGTGTTAAATTTTGAGAAATATTGTTATGACATTGACATGCAGGTGAGAAGTCTATGATCAGGAAGCGTCACATGTACCTAACGGAGGAGATTCTTAAAGAGAATTCAAATATGTGTGCGTATATGGAACCTTCTTTGGATGCACGTCAAGATATGGTAGTCGTGGAAGTGCCAAAGCTCGGGAAAGACGCAGCTGCGAAGGCAATCAAAGAGTGGGGCCAACCCAAATCCAAGATCACGCATCTTGTCTTCTGCACCACATCTGGCGTGGACATGCCAGGCGCTGACTACCAGCTTATGAAGCTCCTCGGCCTACGCCCGTCGGTGAAGCGCTACATGATGTACCAGCAAGGCTGCTATGCTGGTGGCACGGTGCTTCGGCTAGCCAAGGACTTAGCCGAGAACAACAAAGGGGCTAGGGTGTTGGTTGTGTGCTCGGAGATCACTGCCATCACGTTCCGTGGGCCGTCGGAGACTCACTTGGACTCGATGGTGGGGCAGGCGTTGTTTGGGGATGGTGCATCGGCGATGATCATTGGGTCGGACCCGGATCTTGCGGTGGAGAAGCCGTTGTACGAGATGGTATGGACTGGAGCCACGGTGTTGCCTGACTCGGAGGGGGCGATCGATGGGCACTTGAGGGAAGTTGGGCTCACGTTCCATTTGCTTAAAGACGTGCCTGGCCTTATCTCTACCAACATCGAGAAGAGCCTCAAAGAGGCCTTCACGCCGCTTGGAATCTCCGATTGGAACTCCATTTTTTGGATCGCCCATCCCGGTGGCCCCGCCATTCTCGATCAGGTAATCAAACCCTTAACCCATCTTTCACTATGGTTCAAATTTTTGGGTTAAGTTAGACCCCAAAATTCCCCGTCTATGAACTGAATAAATAAACCTAACCCAAACGTCTGCGATGAATTAGTTCATATGGATTTGATCAGTTTAACTCAAAATTTAAAATTTCCATGTCTACCTAACTTTATACGTTACCGAATATAGATTCGATAGTTATTACGAAGTAATTTGAATTTATATATTTGAATTAGGTGGAAGTGAAATTAGGTTTGAAGGAGGAGAAGATGAAGGCAACTCGAGAGATTCTAAGGGAGTACGGGAACATGTCGAGTGCGTGCGTGGGTTTTATAATGGATCAAATGAGGAAGAACTCTCTGGAAGAAGGCGCTCCAACGACTGGAGAAGGGCTCGAATGGGGAGTTTTGTTTGGGTTTGGCCCGGGACTTACAGTAGAGACAGTAGTGCTACATAGCGTTGCATTAAAGTAAACCGCTACAAATGGATGGGCATGTAGGAAGATGTTATGGCTCTAATGTTATGCTTGTTAGTTTGTAATCAACAAAAAAAAATAAGGGTTTGTGGTGGGTTACAATTTATTAATGAATTATAGACTGAATTTGAAATGCTATAAATATATAAAAAAGAATGCATTAATGAACACGTGTAAAATAGGTAGAATATTAAAGTTTTAATTTAAAATTTAAAAGTCAAAATTATAACCAATGATATTTTTACAAATATTTTTTCCCTAATAAAAACAAATTCATAAATTTAAATCCAAATTTAACCGTAAAAAAAACAACACTTTCCTATTAAATACAAATTCATAAATTTAAATCCAAATTTAAATGCGATAAAACAACACTAAAATCAAATTTTCGGTGTAAAAATTGAGCGATCGAATAGAACAGATCAATCTAAACCAACCTAACCTAGTGTGGTTTATCTGTATGTCAATCTATTCGAACCGACCCCGATATCTCTACCTAAATTTATATTTTAGGCTTATAACAAATGCATGTTAATATACACGTCATCAACTTATTCGAATTTATATTTTTGAATTAGGTGGAAGTGAAACTAGGTTTGAACGAGAAGAATACGAGGGCAACTTGTGCATTTTGTTTATAAGATCAAATGAGGAAGAAATCAGTAGATTTAATGACGGGAAAAGAGCTCAAATGGGGAAGTTTTGTTCGGGTTTGGCCGAGGGCTGACGGTGGAGACAGTGGTGCTGTGTAGCATTGAAGAAGGAGATTCATCGACAGGAGAAGAGCTCAAATGGGGAGTTTTATACGAGTTTGGCCCGGGGCATCGATGGAGGTCACGACATAAGTTTTCAAAAGTCGCATCATAATGACATTAATTAGTTCTATTGAACTCAAAGTCCTAAAGTGAGTGTCATTGGTAAAAAGTAAATAAGAATTTAGTAAAAAAAATAGAGTAAGAGGATTCTGAAGGTGTTAATATTACAACATGCGGTGAAACAGTTTGGATCTTAACTATATATTGATTATGAATTCTTATTCATAATTATAATATTTAAATCTTATTTAAGTATCTTCAATTCTCTCTCTTTGTTTTAACTCCAGTTAAAACAAAATGCAGTTAAATATATTGTACATATTTAGAACATATTTCCTAATTCGAATTCGAACACTTCGAACTCTTTCGTCACACTGTTCTAATGTTTAATCTGATATGAGCTAGCATGGGGATCTAATGGACCTACAGATTATGGGCTCTAACGATCCAAGATTAACCGGCTAAACTCATTAACTTAGTTAACCAACATTCGTTAACTACTAGGACATTCCACTATAGATATACTTTTGTTCATTTGATATAACCATAATTAGTAAGTCGATCTTTCATGGGTTGTTCGTAACTAGAGTTGGTTCAATTTACCGTTTTACCCCTGAAGTTACTTCTTGTTCCTTAAGTCCCATTGATCCTCTAGTGAACAATTGGTTTGTGGTCCAGTTAGTAAATTGAATCCCTCGGCTAATGAGAGGGTGGAGCCCCTTGTTCAAGACTTGGAGTCAGTACTTAAGGGAACAACCTCTCTACTATCTCTAAAAGCGGGTAGGAGTGAGTTCCATATCGGACCCCATGTCCCCAACTATTCACCTAGTCTTACCCATGAAATGAGAGGCTTATTGAGTTGGTGAACTCGGGCCACTCTCACCCATGCAAATGAAAGGATAATTTTGAATAAACAGAAGTACATAGTTAGCTCAAGATTAAGATCGAGTTATCTAAGTCATCGATTGAAAAATCAGTCTCAATAATAAACGACATTATAAAGTGTTGAGTGACTTTCTTCATGGTCTGATCTTATGCAATACTCATCGCATAAGACGTCCCCACTCCACATGTACGATTTAGTGATCACTTACCCTCCATTTTTCAACTTCATACACAAATTCACACTCTCTCTCCCATTTCATTCTTGCTTCTTCATCCACTCCTCTCTCCTTCAATGGCCTCCGTCGCCGACATCCGCAATGCTCAACGAGCCAGCGGTCCCACTACCATCCTCGCCATCGGCACCGCCGTACCTCCCAACATCAATCTCCAGTTTGACTATTCTGAATACTACTTTCGCATCACAATTCCGAGCATAGGACTATTCTGAAGGAAAAATTTGTTTGAATGTGTGTGTAAACAACAATTTACTGATATTTATTTAATTTGCAGATAGTGCAGTATATATTATTGAATTTATTATATAATTCTGGTAAATTTTGAGAAATGTTATTATGACATTTACATGCACGTGAGAAGTCTATGATCAAGAAGCGCCACATGTACTTAATTGAGGAAATTCTTAAAGAGAATCCAAATATGTGCGAGCACTCACCTTTTCTAGACGCGCGTCAGGATATGGTAGTTGTGGAAGTGCCAAAGCTCGGCAAAGACGAGAGATTTTAAGGGATACGGTAGTCGTCAGGATATGGTAATTATCATTAAGTGATACGAATTTATATTTTTGAATTAGGTGGAAGCAAAACTAGGTCTAAAGGAGGAGAAGATGAAGACAAGTCGAGAGATTTTAAGGAAGTACGGGAACATGTCGAGCTCGTGCGTTGCTTTTATAACGGATCAAATAAGGAAAAACTCTCTAAAAGAATGAGCTTCAACAACTGGAGAAGGGCTCGAATGGGGAGTTTTGATCGGGTTTGGCCCAGGACTGACAGTAGAGACAGTAATGCTACATAGCGTTGCATTAAAGTAAACTGCTACTCATTAACTCTATTACGACGAATGGATCATAGAGGAAGACGTTATTGACTTTAATGTTATACCTAATTAGTTTGTAGCGAATAATAATAATAAGATTTTATGGTTTGTTACAATTTTATTAATGAATTTATAGAAACTATTTCTCATTCCTATTATATATTTTTATTTCTATATTTATTTTTTCTTGTTAAGTAATTACTAAGTGAATTTAAATGTTATTTTACTCTATAAATATTGACATTAAATTTAAAAAAAATATAAATATATATAAATTCGTTAGAAGCAGAATATTAAAGTTTTAATTTAAAATTTAAATTTTAAAAATCAAAATTATTTGATTGACATTTTTACAAATATTTTTTTCCTAATAAAAAAATTTCCATAAATTTAATTTCATAAAAACCCTAAAAACAAATTTTTGGGGTTAGTTAAGCTTCCAAAACCAACCTAAATTATTTTTTAAAATATATGTATAAATTTTATTTTTTAATTATTATTTTTTTTAATGAAAGTTATAAAATTTATTATTACTATCTCATCATATATTAAAAACAAAATTAAATAAATGACTCGTTCAATTCGAACCGACCTCAACATCTCTATAACAAATGCATATTAATATACATTCGATAGTTATCATCAAATAATATTTTCATAAAAAAATTTTTAAATATATATATATATCCGAAAGACCTGCAAGCAGTTGAATATTGATGTTTGAATTTAAAGTTTAAAATTTAAAAATCAATGATATTTTTAAATAATTTTTTTTTACTAATAAAAACAAATTAAAAAATTTTAATCCAAATTAAAATTTGATAAAACAACCCTAAAAAAACTATTTCCCTTTCCTATTACTTATTTTCATTTTTATATTTATATTTTATGTTAATTTTATTTAAGTAATTACCTATTTTAATTTATAAATATTGACATTAATTTTTTTTTTAAAAATATATGTATATAAATATATATAAATCTATTAACAAAAAAAAGACATATATTAATAAACAAGTCTAAATCATTCAAATTTTAATTAAGAATTTAAAATTTAAAAGTGAAAATATTTTGACAAATATTTTTTTCCTAATAAAAACAAATTCATAAATTTAAATCCAAATTATATTTTGACAACGCTAAAATCAAATTTATATCAATAAAAGTAATTTTCAAAATTTATATTAAATTATAGAAAATATAAAATAAAAATTTTGTAATTTATTTTTAAATTGCTTATGGCTCTCAAAGGTGTGATGCTATAGATTTTATAGAAAAAAATAATTTAAAATTAATTTTGAGAGATTGTTTTTTTTTTTCGTTTGATATATAACCATCTCCATCGAAGTTCGAAGAGTCAAATCTAGTCTTTAAGAGTCATCATAACGACATCAATTAGTTTTATTGGACTCGTACTTGAATAGTTAAGAATTTACTAAAAAAGAATATAGAAAAAAAGAGGAAACGAAAGGTTATACGAATAAGAATTCAATTGTCGGTTGCACATGACCTCTGATAAATACGAGAAAGTGAAGGATACTAAATTATGCTCAGATTTTTACCTATGAGTCAAACTTCGACAAACTAAAGTTGTTTGCGATCGAGCGGTCTAAAATCCCGTCTACGGAACCCTAATAAATTCCGCTCTCCTGCAAATGCACTTTTCTTCGTCTTTAGCTGCATGGGTTTGCATTCAAACGAGGTTCTTCTCCTATTCTCATTCTCAGCCATACAATGCAAAATACCTTTGGCACGACCTTCAAACAGACCAATCCAGATCTCAGTCTTTGCATACGATTGATTATTCTCGAGTAATATTATTAAAAATTAAGCTTATAAAGAAAGTAATAGCTATTTAGAGAAATTAATTTAAAATATAATTTAATGATGTGAGTAAAAAACAAACGAATGAAGAGAGGAAAACGTGGGAGGATGTGATAGGCCGGCGGAAAATCATAGTCTGACGTGGCACCTCAACTATCTATTTCTCCAACCTACCCTCCCTCCTTTAAATATTACTCCATTTTTCCACTTCATACACAAATTCACAACTTCTCTTCCATTTCACTCTTGCTTCTTCATTCACTCCTCTCTCCTTCAATGGCCTCGGTCACCGACATTCGCAAGGCTCAACGAGCCAACGGCCCCGCTACCATCCTCGCCATCGGCACCGCCGTACCCCCTAATATCGTTCTCCAGTCCGACTATCCCGATTACTACTTTCGCATCACCAATTCTGAACATATGACTGTCCTGAAGGAAAAATTTGTTCGAATGTGTATGTAAACAACAGTTTACTGATATTTATTTAATTCGTAGAGAGGGTAGACATTCTATATATTATTGACTTTATTATAATAATTCTGGTAAATTTTGAGAAATG